GGAGCGAAGCAGAGAGTTGGCCACTTTCCCTGCCCACAGCCCAGCAGCTTTCAAATCCTGGGGCACATTGTACCCTTTCCTCTGACCCACGCCTTCATAGACAAAACAAAATCCATTTCTTTAGTTCCCTTCTGCGGGATTGAGTTTTCAGGGACAGGATAGGTGCAGAAGGAAAAAACAAACCTGCCTGGAAAAAATATATATCTATATATACCTATATAGATATAAAAACAACCCCACTGCATTCCAACTATGCTGTCACTAGATGGCGCCCTCAAGGCCTCGGCTCCCAGCACTGGATGTTTCTGACACTTGGCCACTCTGTATACAGATCCAATTGCAGTCTCAGAAGCTGCGGTCACACACGGTGAATCCCACAGGCCTGACCAGCTGTGTCTGTGACCTGAGAGCCAGCTCACAGACGCCTCCAGATACCTCCAGACTCAGGGCATTTTTACCCAGGTAGAAATGAGCCATCAGGAACCAACGTACAATTGTCATTTCCTGTCTACTTATAGACAGGTGCTCCTGAGGGCCAGGGCTGTCTGTCTCTGGGCCCCTTAGCCTGGCACAGGGCCTGGTAGAGGTGTTTGGTGGTGAGTGATGCATAAGAGCACATTGCCACACTGTGCACACCAAACTAGAAAGGAAACCAGGGAGAAGGAGCTGAGTTCTGAGCACATCCTGGGGAGGAGCAGTTCAGAGGCAAGGGCAGCCTCTCCCCATCTGGCCTTTCTGGGTGTTACCAGCATGGAGAAGGAGTGCGTCTCTGGATAAAAATGAGAGATGCTGGGGGGGGGGGGTCAGAAAAGGCTGCTTGCTTCCAGGAACAGCTTTCTGGCCCTTGTCTGGAACCAGAAACAAGTATGAGCTCAGGGCATTCCAGGAAGCCCTCAGTCTAACACGGATCAGACATAGGCATGGAGAGCTGCATTTGTGGGGGTGTGGGGGGGTGTCGGTGGCCACGCCTCCTCCAGATAAGCTACTTTTGGCATCTAGGCAGTCAGCACAGGCCCTCCATCTAGTCTAAGGGTGGGGTTCAGGGAAGTCTGATATCAAGTTCTGCTTTGAAACAGGATGATGGGAGGGGGCCCTGGTGCAGAGCTTCAAGAAGAAATGTAGGCCTTCCTGTCCATTGCCTCTTATCGTACTGGTAGAAACCAAGCCACTTTGTGTCATTGAATGTGACTTTAGAAGGACTGACATTCAGGTGTCATTTCTCTGCCTAGAATGGGGCCCCAGAGTAAGACTGGCATCGCTCACCAGAGTAATTACCAGTTTGGATTCGATTTCCATTCAAAACAGTAATCCCAGCCTGAGCTGGGTGTCAGATCTGAAGGTTGATTATTAGTAACATTTATCAACAGCTTCTCAGCTTCAGGCAATTACAGCTAATCTGCCATTCCTGCTCCCAGTCTTGCAAGACTGCCCGCCCCTTCCCTGCACTCTCCTCCCCCTTCCCCTTCTCCTCCCCCACCCCCTCCTCAGCAGCCAGCCCTAGCAGGGCTGGGGGTGGGAACCACCTATGAGTCACTGTCACCCCGTGTGTAGGGGCCCATGTGCATGCTGGTACCTGTGCTTCTAGCTCAGGTTCCATGCTGCAGTCACGAGGCATCGGCCTCTGATTCCCACACCTGCATGGATTCCTACAGCGGATGGATAACAACCAGCCCAGCTCTTGGCTTGTCCTGTGATTGATTTCCCAAGGCAGAGCTCTTCCCCTCCCCATCCCCCAAGTCTCAGACATCCTCCCTTCAAGGCCAGACAGGGCAAGACAAGAGAGCCATTGACAGTGCAAAATTAAAATGCAATTTTTTTTTTTTAAGAATCCAAATCTTGGTGCCAGTGGCTCGTGCCTATAATTCTACTTACTTGGGTAGCAGAGATTGGGAGGATCCTGGTTCCTTGGTTCCTTACCAGGCCAGGCATAAACACAAAACTCCATTTCAATCAATCAGCGGTCATCCTAGCTGTGTGGGAAGCAGAAATAAGTAGATTGTAGTCCAGATTGTCCCGGTTACCCCCGCAAGACTGTATTTGAAAAATAACAGCAAAAAGGTCTTGAGGTATGCTTCAAGCGATTAGATCACCTTCCTAGCAAGAACAATGACTTGAGCTTAAACCCCAGTACCACCAAAAAACTTAACATGAAATAAAAATGAGCCAGCACAGTAGTTCACACCTATAATCTCAGCAAGGGGAGAGCAAAGGGATCAAGTCCATTGTGTGTATGAAAACGTCACAATGAAGCCCCTCCCATGTACAACTAATATATGCTAATTTTAAACTTTCACAAAAAACTGGGCATGGTGGTGCACACCTGTCATCCCAGCTACATGGGATGATTACGGTCCAGCTGTCATAGACATAAACACAGACTGCAAAAAAACAATCTTAAGTAAAACAGGTTGGGGATGTGACTCAGTGGTAGAGCTACTGCCGAGCAAGTGTACAACCCTAAACCATCCAAAAAATTGAAAAATCAAAATAGAGGCATGAATAACCATAACATCAAACTTTTAAGAAAGACAAGATACAGTCCTGGACTTGCTTCATCCCTCATGGCCCTGCTGGATTCTGCTTTGTTTACGAAATATTTTTAGCCGGGTGCTGGTGGCTCACGCCTGTAATCCTAGCTACTCAGGAGGCTGAGATCTGAGGATCGCGGTTCAAAGCCAGCCCAGGCAGGAAAGACCATGAGACTCTTATCTCCAATAAACCACTAGAAAACCGGAAGTGGCACTGTGGCTCAAGTGGTAGAGCGCTCGCCTTGAGCTGAAGAGCTGAGGGATAGCACCCAGGCCCAGAGTTCAAGCCCCACAACCAACAACAAAAAAAAAAAGAAGAAGAAGAAGAAACATTTTAATCATGGACACCTTTACATTCCTTTTTAGTGTCATATGTCTTGACCACTAAGTTTCCCGGCACATCCTGAAATTCTTCCCCTGGACGAGTAACTCATTCGGTCCCTCCCGGCCTCACTTCCTGCTGGACCATCACCTCTGCCCCTTCCAGCTTTCACACTTACCGCCTTGGGGGACAGCCTCCCCTCTGAGTAGAGGCCTAGGGTACCAGGAGACCCAGGGAAGCCACTCCGTGGCTGTCCTTGGGCTCCCATTCCCCACTCCACCCCTCCGGGCCTGCTTCAGCCTTCAGCCACCTCCGACAGGGCCTGCAGGTTGCCATGGAGACTGTGGTGGTAAGTGGAGGACAGAACATGCTGGTCTTCCTCCTGAAATCACAGCCAGCCGGGGCAGTGCCAAGGCACACCCGACAGCGCCCCTGCAGCCCTCCTCTGAAAGGAAGTGAAGGCATTTCTGGGCTGTGTGGGGAAAATTACATGTGCCTAAATTCCTCCCAGGGAGAGGACAGCATGTGGCTGAAGGAAGACGGTGATGACCTGTTTGTGACAGGGAGGAGATGCGCTGAAGTAGACATGGATGCTCGCTAACCAGCCTTCTGCAGAGGGTAGGTCTCCTGTATCCAAGGGAATCTGTGATGCCGAGCAGGGAACCCCCCTGCACAGAGAATGGGCACCCTTCACCAGGGAATGCCTTTTTCTTTGTCATCCTCTAGGCCATGCTCGGCTTGCCTAAGGGTCAAACCTTTCAGAAAGATCCATGTTGAAGGGTCAACAAGATGCCATATTGTTTCCAGGCCTTGAGGCACTGTCATTTGGCTGTCTGGGCGGAAGTCACTGGACCACTCAATGTCAGGATGCCTATCACATGGTGAAGGGGAGGCAGGAAGGATCTGGAGTTAATGTGCTTCAGAAGAAGCACTGTTGTCACGCCTTTGTACTCCATGGTCCACAGAGCTAGCCCTCACTTGCCTGGCGGTAGTAGATTGCCCTGTCCCTTCATGGCTAGGGATAGATTATTCCTATTCCTCCTCTGCATTCTGCCACATACTGATCCAGACCGCCTTCCCTCTCTGAGCCTCCGCTTCCTCGTCTGGGAATCATCATTTCTAGGACTCTTCCCCAGAAGCCTGTGGTCCCTGTCAAAGGAGCATGATCACAATTACGTCTAGAAAGTCTACTCTGGTGCTGTTGGAGGATGGATTTGAGAGGAGCAAGTTGGGGGTAGACGCCAACCATCCCGGTGTCCACATTCACACAACAGACTGGGAGGCCCTAACTCAGAATGGTTTCGGAGAAAGGGGGTGTGGGTAGAGCTTGAGAGATGTTCCATTGAGACCATCAGCACTGGTCCATGGTGCGTGCATTGGCTGGGAGAGGTGGACAGGGCACTGGGAACTCTGATGGTCCCTTAGTGGAGCTGGTGTCAATCACAGAGGCAGCAGTTATAAAGGCATGGCCAGGCACATAGGAATCTATAGCTGCGCTATTTCTAATGATGTGTTGTGTGGCAGCCAGGACGCTGTTGGGTCCAGAGAGCAGACAGAGAAGAAAGCTTAGAATTAAGGAGAGGACCGGGCCCTCCACACAGACTCAGATATTCTGTGGGGGAGCGGAAGCCCTGTGAGAAGAAGAAATCATCTAGGGACGCTTTAGGTGGATTGAGGGGACCAGGGACTAAAGATGTAGAAAAGAACATCCAAATCCCCACCTTCGCCTTTGAGAGGCAGTGTGTGGACCCCTAGCCCAAACCCTGGCACAGAGCAGACCACAGAGTACAACAGTGAATATGTCCTCTGTTGTGGTTCTCCCAGATTGGGCCTTGGTCCCCAGTGCTCTGCCAGTGTTACCATAGTAACCTACAAAAGCGGGGACACATGGTCTCTGTTGCCACGGAAACCAGCAGTTGGCCTTCCCTGTGTGGCCTGGCCTGATGAGACCTGGGGTATGTGGTCCTGAGGGGTTTGGGATTGCCGTGTCCCAGTGAATCAGTGGGGGCAGTTGTTACTCTGGCTGCGACCTCAACAATGAAGAGAGAGATACCCAAGTGGGTTTGTTTGAGCTTCAGTCCTGAGCTGAATCCAGGGATTTCAACAGGCTCCAAGTGTCCATGCGCAGCCTGAAGCAGGACTGTTCCCAAACTCACTCCCAGCCTCTGGCCACCATGGGGGCCCGAGCACCCTTGCCTTCTTTCTGGGTTTGCACTCTTTTGCCGAGACAGAGATTTTGTTCCCAGGAGGCACTCTCTGGCCCATGGGATCTCGGCATTCAAAGCAGCACAGGAAACCCGGGCCCCTGAAACGGGGCCATGGAAGAGATCGGTAAGCACTCCACAACCTTATCTGTAGGCTACAGATCCCACCCTGGGTCAGCCCCAACCACCCGCCTCCCAGCCATACCCTAGGCAGGAAGGCCTCCTTTTCCCATCCCTCCCTCACCCCATGAGGCCTCTCAGCCCTTTCTTCCCTTCAAGGCCTGGAAGTTCTAGACAGGTCACCAGGGAAGCTGAGTTACCCTCAGGCTCTCGGGGGGATTCTCTACCACTGGAGTGAAGGCTTCTCCCAAGGTCTTCTGGTTGCCTCTTCTGGCTCCTCCCTCTGCCCTCTCCTCTTATTCTGGCCTCCCTGGGCCCAGGGAGCGCGTGCCCAATAGCAGGCCTTCTACCTTGTCCATCACTCAACATATCCCCCCAGGCCAGGGCAACCCCGAGTGACCAGGGTCTGACCAGGCTGCAGGGGGAGTGGTGAGGTACGACAGCCAGGGTGTGGAGAGTCACCCCTTCTTTTCCTTCTCAGGAGATCATCCAGGAGGAAGTACTGGAAGGAAGGAAGGGAGATCGCTGGGTGAGCTGGCTGGGAAGGAGGGAATGCTGTCCCTGGGGAAGGCCACCCACAGGAGACAGTGTGGGGAGGGCATGGGTGACCCCGTGGCCAGGGATCGATCCCATGTATGCTGAGTGTGTGGCATGGGGTGTAGGGAAAGGTGTGCCTATTAGGCAAAGTCTTTGCCTTGCTGTGGAGGGGGGGGCGGCTGCTGTCAGATGGTTGGAGGCCCAGAGACCCAGGCTATGATCACCATGCCTGACCTGGAGCCTTCAACCAAGACCAGGGAGATGGTATCCTCTACCTGTGGTCAGCCTGGGGCCTGGGACCATGAAAGGGATCATGGTACCCCAGCCCACCAGCCTTCATTATCCAAAAACCCAGACTCTGCCCCAAGCTGGCCTCTCCACATTTGTCTTCTATCATCGGGAGCCCAGGACCTCAGATGTGCCTGACAGATGTTGAGGACCCTAGGGTGTATTTCTTGGCCCAGGAGCATGGTCAGAAATAGCTTCCCTGTGAAGGAGGGCCAGGTGATTCCCTTTCTAGATACAAAATGGCTGCTGAGGGTACCCAGCACTTGGGGAATCTGTCTGCCCATCCATGGGAGTGGACTAGAGAACTGGCACGGGGTGTGGGGGGGCGGGTGGGGTGAAGGGTGCATCCAGAGCTCTGGTTTACCTTCATGTGGATGCTGGTCCTAGAATACTGATGGGATTTGTGCCAATAATGCCCTAAAAGGGGAGACACATAGGGCTCAGATGTAGCCCATAGCAAACACACCCTCTGCCCCACCCCCATTTCTCTCCTTTTTTGCACACAGCCTCAGACCAGCTTAACTTTTTAGCCTCTAAAGAAAGGCTCACAAAAATCTCAAGACAGGGCACGGGGCCGATCACTGGAACGTAGTGCAGAGGTTCCCGGGAAGGGGAGGAGAGTGAGGGCGCGAGTCGTATATCCCAGAGGGATGACTCTGCTGCGATGATTCTAATGAGACCTGAAGACTTCAGCCCTCTTGCCTTGCACCGCGGGTGCGTTTGGAATGATGTGAGCTGATGTGAGCTTGCTTTCCTGCATCCACACCCCTCAGACTGTCAAGGCTGCAAGCGTCTTTGAGATCCTGCATCCAACCCCTGATTTAACAGGCCAAACTGGGGCTTCTGGGCAAGGTCACACTGCAAATTCATGGTAGTCGGAGCTAGGACTCAGGCCACCTGCTGTGTGGAAGACATGGGCTTTCTGTGAGTGGTCTTATCTTTGACCTTGCCTGAGCAAGCCTGAGCATAAAGTGGGCTGTAATATCTATCTGTGGATGTCTGTGCTGACAGCAATTCCTGGCCATAAGGAGTTTCTGAGCTGGCTTGTTTCTAGAATGTACTACCTCTCTACACCCCTGGCTTGTCCATAGTCAAAGATTCTCCTAGCATCCTTTCATATCAGCCAAACTGCATAATCCAAGATTGTGCCAACAAGCATGGTATTTCACCAGCAGCAACCAATCCTGTACAGGCCCACAGGGCTGTGCATAGACAAGGGGGTGAGGAGCCAGATTGTAACAGGGTTGATGGCTGAGTTTGACAGGTTGCGGACAGTCATAACTGATGGCCACGTTAGGCAGTCTAACCAGCGAGGGATTCTGACAAGCAAGAGAAGCCTGGCTCAGTGTTTGATCGTAGGTTTTACCACTTGGATCTGCTGTGTCCATGTGGCTAGGGCCCACCCACCCTAGCTTCTTGCATTTCCTGTTTCCCTCAACTTGCTGAGTGTCAAGTCCATGTCCTCTATCTATCTATCTATCTATCTATCTATCTATCTATCTATCTATCTATCTATCTATCTATCTATAACTGGCACATTGTTATCATTTGAAACTTCTCCACCTCTGAAATCATTATTCCGTGCTTCCTGTGCATGCTAGTCCCACGCCACCCCCCTCCCCATCAACAGGGTGACAGTTTAGAGACCTTCAGGCTCCTAACTCCTCACTGGGAGTCACCTCTCATCTCTGTCCTATCCGCACCCTGGAACCTGCAGCAGCTCACCACAGGCCCCTGGCCCCGCAGGCTCCCCCCACAACCTTAACACATGCTCTCTGCCTGCTGCTCATCCTGGTTTGGAGATGTCCATTCGCAAAGGGATCCTCACACATTAGTACACACTCATGGTCCACACCTGCAGTGAGCCCACAGCAGTCCTGATGCCTAGACCTGCGCCTGTCCCTCCACGGAGCCCTCCAATCTGCACCCCACAACCCCTCAATTCATTCTCAGTACTCAACCTAGACTCTGGCTTCATCCAGAGGAAAGTTCTTTAGCCTTCCTGTCCTGAGCCTAGTCTTAGATCTGTGTCCATCTGTGCCTCTAGCCCCATCATGCTGAGATGTTGTAGGTGTCATCCTTCCAGTTAGCTCCCCACCAGAGGTTAAAAAGCCCCTCACACCCCTGGCTGCCCAGTCCCCGGCTGTGTTGCTTACTTCTTTCCAATGTATCTCCCTGCCCCCTTCCTTCTGGCACCTTCCTCTGGAACCTAGTTAAAACACATCCCGAATGCCTCAACTTTACAACCTCCTCTTTCCTCCCACCTGCTACTGAAATCACAGCAGGGCTGGGCCTTTCCTCTACATCACCTGCTGAGATCTCAGCAGCTCCAGCCTGACTTCTGACCCTCACCACCCACGTCGCCCATGCACCGCAAGCCCAGCCAAAGCCTCCAACCCTGCTCTCTCCTCGTGAGTCCTCTCTTATCTATTCTGATTCTCCCTTGCCCTGCTTCTTCAGGATCTCATTGATGACCACTGTTACCATTAAGCTAAAGACTAGAGCTACTCACTGGATGCTTCTTCTTAGTTTACTTTTGTTTTTTTCTTTGTCTTTTTTCCTCACTTCAATTAGTTCTTGTTTCCTGTGGATTGACATTGTCTTCCTAGGCACACACACATTTACGATTGTTGTGTGGTTCCAAGCTCATCATTGCAGCAATATGTAGGACCTCAAAATGGGCTCTTTGCCAGGCACCTGTGGCTCACACCTGTAATCCTAGCTACTCAGGAGGCTGAGATCTTAAGATCACTGTTCAAAGCCAGCCCGAGGAGGAAGTCTGTGAGACTCTAATCTCCTAACCAAATCTCTAACCAAAGAAGAAAAAAAAAGCCAGAAGTAAAGCTGTGGCTCAGGTGGTACAGTGCTATTCCTGAGCAATAAAAGCTCAGAGACAGCACCCAGGCCCTGAGTTCAAGCCCGAGTACGGGTATACATACACAAAAAAATGTCCTTCTCATTCCTGGTATTATTTCTTTATTTGAGGTCCACTTGATCTAATATTAATGTACTCATTTTGTTTTCCTGTTTTTTAGTGTCAGCATGGCATATCTTTCTCTATGATTTCACTTTTTTTTTTTGTGCTGGTACCAGGGCTTAATAGAACTCAGAGCCTTGTTATTCTCGTTGGGCTTTAATTGCTCAACAAGTCCTCTACCACTTGAGCCAGGCCTCCAGCCCTGCTTTCTTGCTAGGTAATTGGAAATGTAAAAATCTCACAATGACATTTCTGCCCAGGCTGGCTTTCAACTGAGATCTGTGGATCTTACCTCCTGAGTAGCTAGGATTACAGGTATGAGCTACAGTAGGCTCATGCTCCATATTTTTTACTTTTAACCTCATTGTCTTTATATTTAAAATGGTTTTCTTTTAGACAACATATAAATATGCCATTTTATTCAATCTGATAAATTTGGCTATTCTTTAGAGTGTTTCAAATATTTACATTTACTGTTGTTAGTAATATGGTTAAGTTTGAGTTTAAATCTACACCTGGCTACTAGTATTTTATTTGTCCCATCTACCTTTTGTTCTTTTTCATCCCATTTTTCTTGCTTTCTTTGGAACTAGGCTTTTTATGATTCAATTTTGTCTTTCATTTTTACTAGCTGTAACCTTTCTAATTCGCATTTCTGTTTGTTTTTGGTGATTGCTTTAAACTTTACAATTTATATCTTCAATTTCCAAAGTCTGCCTTCAAATATTATCATAAATATTCTAAGAAACTTATAGTAGTATAATTCCATTTACCTCTGAGCTATTATTTTGCATTTTGATTCCATCTATACACAAACCAACAATACGATGTTATTTTTTTTGCCTTAGTCAATAACTGCTTTTAAACAATCATGCTTTAGCTGTACAACTCATCTATATGTACCATTCAACAGTTTCCCATCACTACAATCAAGATTTCATTACCTCCCACATACCCTAAAAACCCATGCACAGTTACAAGTTTCCCTTTTTCCTGCCAATTTCGACTTAGTGAATTGCTTGTCTACTTTCTGTCTTTGTAGATTTGCTTATTGTAAACAGTTTATATAATGTGTGGTGTCTTGTGACTTTTTTTAAAGATAGTATCAGTGAGGCCTAGGCTAGCCTCAAACTTGCTCTTCTCCAGCCTTAGCCTGCTGGGATTTCAGGCATGCAGAACCACACACAACATATTCTTCCCCTGGTTTAATGTTTTAAGGTTCATCCATATTGTTAGAGGCATCAATACTTTATTTCTTTGCTACTGAATAATACCATATTGTCTAAATGAAACCTACATTGTTTTTTCATACTAGCTATTTTAAATAATGTTGCTGTGCTGAAGTTTTTGCACAGGTATGTGCTTTCCTTTCTCTTCAGTATATGCCTTGGATCTATGCTCATCTTTCTGAATAAGTGCCGGACTGTTTTCCAAAGTGGTGACACCATTCTGTGTTGCTAATAGCAGAATTGTGAAGGCTTTAGTTTTTTCATACCTTCGCCAACATATGCAATTATGTATAGTCTTAATTGTAGGCATCCTAATGAGTATGAAGTGATATTTCATTATGGTTCTGGCTTATACTAGTGGCTAATTACTACTCTAAAGGCTGATAAGGGCTAGTGATATGATTAGAGGCCATTTGTATGTCTTCTTTGGAATAAAGTCTATTCAAGTCTTCTGTCCATTTTAATTGGGTTTGTCTTTTAATTGAATCGTAAATATTC